ATTTCACCAATCCTATTTTCACTGACACATGATGGGATGATCATCAAAAGCACTCCATATCAAATGGAATCCGAATTGTCTAAATAGGAATGAATTGTGGACTAAACCAGAATTTCACCCGGTTGCAACACCCTCCTACCCTCCACGATGAAGTGACAAAATCAACACGAATGTGATAAGCGATTTCATTATGTAAACACATATGCTGCTTTTATAATTTTACACACTTATCAAATCCAACAGTAAACTACACTTGGTTTTGTTATCTTTACCAATTGGGCAACTTGACAATGCAGAAATGACTGAATGCTGAAGAACGATGATTAAGTTGTTATGTATAAGCTGAGTGGATTTTGTAAATTCTGGTTTAACAGCACTACTTTGATGAAGCTATTAGCAGCAGCATTAGATAGCGTAACGTCAGTAAATACAACAACATTGTCGTTTTGTTTTGCATTCATTGGGAAATACAAAAAAACAACCTTTATTATAATGAACATCATATGCCACCCAATGCCCAAATTTTTTCAAACTGTTAAAAGTGAACTTGGTTTGGACATATATATATATGTATTTTCCCTAAAATGAAATTAATAAGCTCATTCATTTTCAAATTTGTTATTCCTTCAACCCTCCCCCCCCAAACAAATACAGGTCAAGAACATCTTCAAGCGGTAGAAGAAAGAATGGGAGAGCTGAGAAATTTACGTGATGCTTTTGCAGTAAAACTCTCCGGTTACGTGAATGATACAATGTTACGATTTGCTAGTCAACTTGGCTTTATCGTGAATACTGGTGTCAGTCTACCATCGTTGAATAATGATTCAGCATCCTCGTTAGGAGTATCTGGTAGTCCTGGAAATGGAAGTACTACTACTACTACTGCTGGAGGTGGTGTTGGCGGTACACTAGAGAAAAACAAAAAACACTCTTTAATTATCTCCAACTCGTTTCATGTCGCCTCAGAGGTGTACGCAACACAACGTACTGGTCTGTTACAATTAGCACCACTTATTGGCAATTGGTTACAAACGAATAGAAAAGATTTATATATTGAAATTAAAAGGGTAAGTATGTGTTCTGTAACCGTGCTATTTCTTTTTTTTATCTATAATATTGGATTGTTGCCGTTGTAATTCAGTATTTAGTCTGTGTGAGTTGATTTTCTATAAACTTGAGTTTCTAACTCTCCTGTGGTTGTTCGCTTGACTAACACATCGAAAAATGGGACTTCGCCCTCGTATTCCTCTTCTCTTGTGAATTTGATGTCGTTGAAGATGGTGTTCATTAAGTTGTGAGTTTTATCCAACTCGTTTCTTTTGATTATTTCAACTGAGTCATCTACGTAGGAGATTTTAGAGTTTGATCTTTGGTAGGAATATATTTTCAAGTCTTCACATCACTGCTTCTGATATTGGCGATCCCATGGGTGTCAAGCGAACGACCACGGGGGAATTAGAAACTCAAGTTTATAGAAAATCAACTCACATAGACCAAATACTCAATTACAACAGCAACAATCCAATAGCACACAAGAGGAATTGCATACAAACACTATTCAAGAGAGCCAGTCAGGACTCATTGCAGCACTCCCATCTTAAGGAAAATTGAAGAAAGATATCTCATGGACGTCTTCCAAAAGAATGGATATCCTTGGAATTTCATCAAAAGACATATACCCCTGAGCCAACCTATCAAACCAAAAGCCCCCAAGGAAAACACAAAGAAAATCGCCTTACCATATATAGAGGACATCTCAGAAATCACTGCAAGACTCGTCAAACCTTTAGGAATTGACGTCGCACACAAACAAACAAAATCACTTCACTCAACTGGCTCTATGTCAACCAAAAGACTCAACAGCGAATGAAGATAAAACCAACATCATCTGCAAGATAAATTGTAACAACTGCGAAAAATACTACATTGGCCAAAGTGGACAACGTCCCTTTCGTCTTCGTATCCGTCAAAAGACATGACATCCATTCCCTCACTCATATCACTACATACAGACAACCATGGGCATCAATTCGATTGGGACAACCATGTTCAAATATTAGACGGAGGAAACAACAAGAATACTGGAGGATTTTTAAATACCAGCCTGGTATTCCGGTGAATCATCAATCAATAGACACATAGATATAGACAAAATTTATCAACCGATAAGAAAGAAACTTCACACACAAAGGGTCAAAGTTCAAGTCAGGGAAACAATCAGTTCCAATACAAGTAGCCTAGAAGGTGTGAAATCACACAAAAACAATCAAAGAGTCACGTCCAAGGTCACCCACCAGGAGAGATGAATAATAAACTCGTGGAGAAGTCTGAAAGCTCACTTCAACGAATTGAAGTATTCGCTGAAGATGTCACCTAGTAGGGTGATGATAGCTTCACAAATTAACTATCCAGCTCAGAGAACAACCACATCGAAATCATCCACCTGAGCTACTAATGTTCTCCATCATATCTATTATTTTTTTATTTAATTCCACATAGTGACGAAGGAGATAATAATTTTCAACTTATATGAAAGTTTGAAGGTACGAAATATCGATTTCAAGGGGCTTAAAGACAAGATTGCCTAGGATTAGAAAAGACAGTTACAACGTATGCAAAATAATTATTTGATAACCGGAGAAATAATTTTAAAGGCGAATAAAAGGTGATAATTATTTTCAACTTGATATGAATTGCAAGAGGCTTAGAAACGAAAGACTACGCGCGGATAAAACGAATTACAGGTGTGAACAAAATGAGCATGGAAACAAATTAAAATAACTGTTCGTATAACTAAAACAAAATGGGATGAGCGAAAGAAACCCGAAGGCTAAGAGAACAAACCGAACTGCCTCCATGGTAGTTGTAAAGGCTGGACTAGTTTCTTTTGAACACACAGCCCCGGCTTTTCAATGCATATGGCGAGAGCTTCCGCAGTACAAAGAAGTCGGGAACACACTGCCTTTGGTGGTAGATTTTTGTTTACTTTGTAAATGACTCTGAATGATGAGTCAGTTGAGATTCTGTGACAGGTATTGATTGACGAGGTGTTCAGTTATTGCGCTTCTGATTGAACGAGTGCCTCCTGTTTGCAGCCATGCTGGATGATGTTCTCTAAAACGTTTTTATAAGATCCGCATAGAACGACCGATGTACCTACCTAGCTTCACACGAGCAGGTGAACTGATATATGCACACTTAAGTGGTCATATGCGGAAGTCTGTCCTTCCCGTTGCTCCGAAGTAGTAAGAGGCTAGAGAATATCACTCTTAGAGTTACTGCAGGAAAAGTCACCAGTTATCGAATAACAATTTTGCATACATTGTAACCTTTCTAATCCTATGCAATCTTGTCTCTATGACCCTTTTAATCTATATTCGTAACTTCAAACTTTCATATCAAGTTGAAAATTGTTATCATCTTCTAAAAAATTGTATCCATGTAAACTAATCTGTATAAATGCGATTATCATGAATTGCCACTTTTTGTCTTTCGCATTCTTCTTTCGAAGGTTTGGTCTGTCTTCTGTTCTATTATTTCTCATTCTCGAGGGTGATAGTTTTCGTTTTGGTCATGGAGGTTCGTGGTTAGAGTAAAAGAAAATCCTTAGCGGCCCACGTCTAAGGCAATTTAGTCGTTTTAGAGGAAATAAATAATCTGACTTTTCTGATGTAAAGTCGATGGAAATTAATGGGCCCGGCGTCTCTAAATGATGATCTGTAAGCATCATCTCCAGAACTGATAATGTTGTTGAGATATAATTCTACACGTGCTTGGATCGATGATACATGGAATGTTGGACTTGTGTTTCCAAAGCTAGGCTCAGATGCATCTAACAAATTATTATTATTATTGTTATTCCCTTGGCTTCCGAGTGGAACATAGGGCTTCAACAACATCTTTTCATTTTGTTGTAATTTCTAGCGTCCTCTTCATCTGTGTTCACGATTGTCCATAATCTCTCATTTCTTCCTCCCTACACGATCTCCTTCATGTCACCCTCACACCGATGACTTACTCGTCGCGTAATTTTCATTTGGATTTCACTCGAGCTATTGTCTGGTGCACGATGTCATTCGACGGTTTCCTCAATCTATACCCGATTCATCCATCTCCATTTTCTCCTACATATTTGTTGAGCAGTTGGCTCCTGGTTGGTTTGTCACCAGCTAGAATTTCTTGTCACTAATTCTTTCTGGCCATTTGATCTTCAGTATGGAGCCAGTGAAGGTTTCAGCTGTTGATGAAAGTCTTCAGCAAGCTGTTGGAAATCCTTTTCGTGACACTCAGTGCAAATTTCTGACCCGCATAGAAGAACCGACTTGACATAAGTGTTGAAAATTCAAATCTGGTTCCTTATGCTTAGTTAGTGCAGGCCTGTAGTTGAAACGATGTTTCCTAAATAAGTGAAGACAGGAAGTAACCTCTGTTAAATCTCTCCCGTTGGTGGTGATTGGTGCTGGTTGTTGTTGCTGTGGCGGTTCGTTGGTTATCTTCATCACCTCCGTCTTCTCTGTGTTCACCTGGAGTCCTGTTTTCGCTGCCTCTTCAGCCAGTTCGTTGCTTTTTGCCTGCAAGTCTTTGAGTTCGCGTGGCACTAAACATAAATCATCCGCCTCGAAATCCAGATCTTCTAGAGTCTTCCCATCGGTCGTCCAGTGTATTTCTGACTCCTCGCTCTCTGTGCACAATCTGACGCATAATCCGAATCGAACAAATACTGCAAATTAATTCTGTAATAGAAACAAATTAGTGCGGCATTCGATGAGGTTGTTCAAATATGTCGTCATCAATTTCATGACTACAGATCCTTGTTTAATATACAATTGTATTGTATGAAGTTTATATTGAAATAAGTTAAGTAAATCAGCCGATTGCGTGACTGTTTCAAGTTGAAGTTCTCAGCAGTTTATCAGTTCAAAGGTTTATAATTCAGTGTGCTTTACAATCACAAACACATCTGAGTCAAACCCAGTGGTGACCCCAATTATAGTGCTGGGCAGTATTATCAATGGTCATTCAACACGCGTAATGACACCGCTTTTATTCTGTTTTTGCGATCATAATATCCAAATCTCTTATATCTACCCTATCTCACTATTCTTTGCTCACTTCTCAGCAGAAACCTCCCATCAATGCATGAAATCCCTGACAGTTAAACTGAGTCAGGTAGGGAGATGCAGACTTCCGGGTTGGGGCCCTCGGGACTCTAAGAATCAATGGCTGGGGACAATAGGTGACATGGCTCAAAATCGTTATCAGTGGCGCAGATGTATTCAATCTCTTTAACCTTCATATACCTTTGTACCGTTACTCATTCTGTTTCACTCTTATACTTATCTAAATTCTATTGATTCTCTTCACTCATTTTCCTGTCTACCTTTGTGTGCTATTTGGAACGTGGCAACTCGAACCGCTGCACCTCGGTGCCAAGTTCTATGTTGAATCCAGCAGCAGCAGCAGCAGAAACCTCCCATAATAATAATAATAATAATAATAATCACACAAAGTGGAATTTTCCGCTTTGTTTTTATACATATTGCAACAATTTATCTCCTTTTACATAAATATGTACATACATAAAATTTAAAATAGTAATAATAATAATATTGATATTAATAATGAAACCACCACTATAAACAGAATGTTGGTGGAAACATAGTGAAGTATAAGTAGACAGTATCATAGATAATCCATTTAGTAATAATAATAATCTTTGCTTATACTTTGCAGTTCAGATTCCTGATTTAAAAAGTTTATGAGCTCTTTCCTGACATCTGACTCTCACTTCACACAAAACTAGCCGTGCTAAATATGGTGGTATGGTAGAATTCTTATATTCAATAGCTGTATGAGCATAAATTCTTGTGAATTTTCTTCTGGTTTCACCCCCGAAGAGATTCACGGAGACAGCTGAGAATAAGTAGAGAGGATGTTCAGTATCAGACAAGATAACTTTAGCCAAATGCTTGCGAGAATGGAAGTGCCTATCAACCAAGAACAATGTCAGTTAGCTGAATCGAAGATGGCACTCCACTAACCCTACTTACAGCCTTCATTGTTCTACGTAATATGAAATAGTTGCTTTTGAGAATTCCAGGGAAGAATAAGTGTGGTGAACAATAAAGAAGGTGAACGAGCAGAATACATGAACTATTAGATTGTAAGATAAGAGGTTGAGTCATGGTGCCAGAAAGTCTCAACTTCTTGGCAGAAGTTAGAATTCATTGACCATTGGATCTGCGAGCTCGCCTTGTAACCAGAAGGTCCTGGGTTCGAACCGTAGCGGTGGGTGCATACTGACGAAGAGTCCCATACTAGAACGAAACAACTGTCTGCTTTTCCAATGGTTTTCTATCTGATATCAGCTCATGATGAAATTCTCCAACCAATCAAATTAATAAAATTTAAGAGAAGAGGTGGAGTTATGATGCCATAAAGTCTCAACTTCTTTATGTAGTAATAAGTCAAACGAAAAATTTTGTGCTCAGAAATCAACAAGATGTGAGACGATCAACGAAGGAGATTCCAAGAGGAACTGATGCCTAGATAAGAGATATTCGACTTACTCTCTATCAAACAGTGCCGTCAATATTACGAAAAGCATGGGACTGACTCAGTCCACGAAAGTCTTGTTCGCGTCTTAAACTAAATCAACAATGATGTGACATTTAGATGGATTCAATTTAAGACCATTTAAGTGAGACCACTTGTTAACTTCAGATAAGAATCGATTCAAATAAGAGCAATGTCATGTAGGAACTGCTGAAACAGAAATGGTTAGGTCGTCGGCACATTTAATGAAGTTAGATTTGGAAGACATAAAATAGGAATGGAGAGAGTACTGCCCCAAATGAGGCATACCAGTTTCCCTCAGCAAATAAGTGGAGCGCTTTCTACTTCATAAAACGGTGCTTTGTTTTCTATCCAAAAAAAGTTAAGAAGACAGCCACCTTGTGACCACCCAGGACTCAATGCCAGCTGAAATTTGCTTACTTGGTAAAAGTGTCCTAGGTACAGAATTATCAAAAGCAGCACTTGTAGTCTAGAAAGGAGGCTTGAAAAAAAAACTTTGCGCCTTTATCAAGACTTTAAACTGTGGAGTTTAGCATTACATAATACAACACAATACTCTACACGTAATCTAAATATTACTCAGCATACTATGCCACTTTACATTAGATTACATAATCGAGAACAGTGTTAGTCTTTTCATATCTTCCACCTTCAATGGTCCTGTCTTACAGCTATAAAGGAGTCTGGAGGAAATTAGAGTCGTGTTTCACCTCCAGTTATTATCGATTATATCAATGTCAGCATAAATTGAAGGAACCTGAAAGAAACAACCTCTTTTACCTACCTATCTGGGAAGCATCGTTTCAACTAAGGGCGGAACTGAATAGGATATCAAAGACGAATCAGAAAAGCAAGACAAGCTCCCACTACTCTCAAGTCTGTGTGGAGGTCAACAACACTCAGCATCAAAAATAAGATCCGGATTTTCAACTCCAATGTGAAGTCAGTGCTACTCACTATATGGATCAGAGACTTGCACTGCGCGTCATAAAGAGCATCTCAAACAAACTACAGACCTTCATTAACAGTTGTCTTCGCTCAATACTCAAGATCAGATGGCCGACCAGAAAAGATCAGCAACAAGAATCTCTGGGAGCGAGCCAACCAGGAATCGGTTGTGCAAGAAATATGCAGGAACAAGTGGAGGTGGATTGGCCATACTCTGAGAAAACAAACCACCAAGTGAGTGACATCACACGACAGGCCATTGCTCGAGTGTTACCCGAAAGGAAAGTGGCGATTTGGTCGTCAGTGCAAGGGTGACTTGGAGGAGGTCATGTGAAGAAGAGATGAAAACGTATGGGCAGACTTGGAACCAGGTGAAGACTCTAGCAGAGAACCGAACGCAGTGGAGACGCACAGCTGAAGCCCTATTTTCCTCTAGTAATTAAAGGAAACAATAATATAATAATAATATCGATGTCAGTATGTTACTCGAAGAGCATCTTGAATAGTCTCATCGAATATTCTTCTCGACAAGTTCTTTTCAAAAGGAAATACCAGTAGTTATATCTTCGAAACCACCTTGTTAACTTTGGATGTCGACACCCCTGCATGATGGCTTCACAGGGATACATAGAGTTCCCCAAAATATAGCACAAAAAGAACTTCGAATACGTTGTTTTTGCAGACAGCCAAATCACTGACTATTCGGGACCTAAAACTGGGCCTCTGTTTTCAAAAAAACAATAAGTTGTATTACAAAATCAATCTGTGCGATTGTGAAGTCATATCAATTCAGATAGCTTGGACACGTGCTGTGCACGCTGAGTCACTGCCTTTCTTTTCGAGAAATATTAGGTGAAATAGGATTAAGTTGGCGGTTAAACGAAAACCCAGCATCAGTTCTTGCAGTCTTTGACGATTAATTTCAGCCAGACAGGTAGGAAGGGAGGTGTAGGCTACTTGTTCGGCGTCCCCTGGGTACTGTGAGCCAATGACTTGAGGACGATTGGTGATGTGGTTCAGAGTCGTTCTGAATGGTGCTCCTAGGTACATTAAATCAAATTTTTCCTTCTCCTGCAAACTTCTTCTTGTGGTCCTTCTAAGTGTGTTCTCCCCCTCTGTTTCCTATACGTTCGTGTGGTGCATACAGATTTTGGAAACTTGGACTGTTGCGCTTCTGTGCAAAGTTCTATGTTCAATCAGACATAGCTAATTTGGAATTCTGAAAAGTCCTAACTTTTCGCTGTCTCTCCTTCAGTCATCAGTTTCTTTATGAAGTTGTGGTACTGCATCGTAATTCTGAAATCTATATTTCTCTTCACTCGGACAGATCTTCTAAGCCCAGATATCAGATTATTATTATATATGCATATTGCTGAAGAGTCTAAGACTGGGACGAAGCACATATCTAATTTCTATCATATTCGCATTTTTCTTATTGTTGAATATCGCTTTCTTGTTCTCTGACTGTCTATCTCTCATTAACGTTTTTTTTTCCATTTCATATAGATGTATGTTAAAAAATCACAAAGTTTCTTTAGACGACAAATTCAAGAAGTATTGAAATTCACTGAAGATTCTATAAGAGCTCTTGTACGCCCAAGTAAAGGTGAGTAGTTGTCATTTAATCAGATCTTTTTTCTCTTTGATCTGGCTATATTTTAGTGCATTTTTAAAGATTATTTTGAATAATCAATACTATTATAAATGTGAACAGCAGTAGAATGCTCGCCAGCCATGCAGGTGGTCCGGAGTTCGATCCCCGGCCACCGACGCACTCCTTTACCCCGCTAAGCCAGTAATTAGGACTGGTAAAGAAGGAAGGCTAGGCATGAGGCTAGCAAACCCATCCCGTAAAAATAAAACACCACAGCCCTGTTACCGAAACTTCAAGCCTCTAGCTTGAAGGCGCTCTATGTTCCACGGGGAACATAAAGGAATAAAGAAGGTTACATATGTCCAAACCAAATTCACTTTTAACAGTTTGAAAAAATTTAGGCATTGGGTATTTGATATTCATTATATTGTAAAAAGGCTTTTTGTATTTCCAAATATATGAAAAAAACTAAACGATACTGTTATTTTTACGAGTTGATCACGGATTGATACCAGTTAGAGAACCATTGAAAACAACCAGAGAGTACTGGACAGCTGAATCATCCTAATCCTTGGGACTCATTGGCAGTACGCACCCACCACATGAGTTCGACCCCAGGACCTTCCGGTTACAACGTAAGCTACCTCGTATACCATTCAGCGACTGGAACTCGTCTCCTCAATGGCTAGCCTATGCATGAATTCTAACCTCTACTAATTTGTGATTTAGCGTCACTGGCACCAATCAATGTCATCGGTGGGAAATCTATCCAACAAGTTTAATCCTTGCAAACCAACTTGTGAAAATTAATCTGATGCTCGCTAGTGACTTGCTACAGGATGGAGTTTCCTGGAATTCTAGTGAGAAGTCGTGACCAGTGAGGTCCAAGCAGTCAAGTGTGAGAATGGATTTCCCACCGATGACATTGGTTGGTGTCAATCACGCTAAATGTATCACGAATTGGTGGAAGTTAAAATCCATGCATGGACTAGCAATTGAAGAGTTAGGTCCCACTGGCTGAATTGTATACGAGGTTGCTTGCCTTGTAACCGGAAGGTCCTGAGTTCGAACCCCACTGTGGTGGGTGCGTACTGCCGATGATTCCCAAGCACTGGGATGAAACAGCAGCTGTCCAGTACTCCCTGCTTGTTTTCAATGGTTCTCTAACTGATATCAATCCGTCATCAACTTGTAAAAACAAATCTAATCCTTACAAACCAACTCGGTAAGATACTGTTGTTGCTCTGACGGACGTTTTGCTGTCAAGTTGGTAATATTAAACTAGAATTTACAAAATCTCAGCCTATGCATAGAGTAACTTAATCGTCGTTCTTCAGCATGAGGTAATTTTTACGTTGTCAAGTTGGCCAATTGGTTGAGATAGCAAAAGTGGAAGATACGCAAGTGAAAAGCAACAAGTTGTCAGAGGAAGCATCAAAGATAGGACTTCATGTGAACACAGATAAGACAGAGGTGATGAAAATTCCTCGCCAACAGCAACAGCAACCACAACAATAGATAGCAATCAGCATCAATGAGATAAATCTGAAAGAAGCAATCTCCTTTACCTACCGACCTACCTACCTGGGAAGCATCGTTTCAACTACAGGCAGACGGAACTGATGAGGATATCAAAGCAGTGAGGATAGGGCAAGCAAGACAAGCCTTCATTACTCTCAAGTCTGTGTGGAGGTCAACAGCACTTAGCATCAAAAATAAGATCCGGATTTTCAAGTCAAATGTGAGCAATCTGCAAACCCTCATCAACAGCTGTCTTCATTCAATACTCAAGATTAGATGGCTGGCAAGAAATGATCACGAATAGTAAAGGATCTCTGGGAGCTAACCAATCAGGAACCAATTGTGCAAGAAATATGCAGGAATAAATGGATGTGAATTGGCTGGTCATACTCTGAGAAAACAAACCACCAAGTGAGTGACATCACATGCCAGGCTATCGCTCGAGTGGAACCCAAATGGGGAAAGCGAGTTGGTCGTCAGTGTGGAGGTGACATGGAGGAGGTGATGTGGAGCCAGGTGATGAAAACGTTGGTGGAGAACCGGGCGCAATGGAGATGTGTGGCTGAAGTCGTATATTCCTCAAGGAACTAAAGGAAACAATAATAATAATTTTGTAATATACACTAAGCTTATTATGTCTTTAGTATTTTATTACAGTTCACCATTTAACCTATTTATTTTACCACCACGCTTGATATTTCTCAGCTTTTACTTGACCTCTTACATTCAGTGTTTCCCATTTGTGGTTGGTATTTGTTCGTGTGTATTCTGTGGTGATCATTTTCCTCGCACACCATTGAGTATAACTCAACCCCACCCTCCAATGAAGCTAACATTTTGTTGACTATAAATACATTAGTATGTCACCCATTTGTATATTCGCACTTTATCTTTTTATTATGAATGACTGACTGAACACTTTATACACGTTCATTTGACAATATTAACCGACGGACTCTCATTCTGTCTTATACATGTACCCCACCCGGATACAGACATTTTCTGATGCAATTTTAACATTCCTTTAATAGATGTTTGTATTCTTCTAATATTCATGAATTTATAATTGTAGAGCCCCTGGGGTGAGGGAGAATTTATCGAAACCACAATTGTTGACTCCAAATCATCTTTTTCATTTGTTGAAATGTTTCTTTACCTCCTTCGACTTCCTCTTCGATTGATTCATATTCAATCACCTTTTCTTTCTTGTTTTTTTTCTTTTTTAAATCTAGCTAAGGATTCACAACGTCTTGATAATATGCCATCTGATGTTGGCAGTGTAATGTCATTGCAAGTTTCTGATTCAAGTTTTCTCTCTCAAGTTGAAAATGTAAGTGGGTTCACTTAAGTGTATTGTCCCTATCACACGCACGATGATATTTCCTTTTATTTTGTAAATATTTACGGTACTACTGTTATCGTAGTAAGTAGCATCATTAGATTTAGCAATTTTTGCGGGATATACACATTTGATCATAGGGAATAAAAAGACAGTTGCAGCGAAGAAAATTTTCTTTTCGACGAAGTCATCATCTAGGCTGTACATTCGTGTATTTATATCAAATGGATGGGAAAGTTCCAGAATAATTTCTGGTTAGGGGTTAAATTAATAAAAATTACAATTAGGAATTAGAATGCCATAATAAACAGGGGGATGGGTAAAACTCAAACAAAGTAGCATAATAACTAAGAAGATTGACATTGTGCAATTGGGGTTAGAAATGTAAAAATAACAAAATATACAGTATGTTGGATAAAAAACTAGTGTGATGAATAATTGTTTATGCAATCAGGGATTAAATATGTAGAAATAGTAAAATGACAAAATAAACAGGAAGTGTGGATGTGAAAATATGGTAGTGTAGACGAGGATTAAGAAAACTTAAAATAACATGAATAAACAGGAAGTCTGGATAAGGAAGGCGATGGGATGGTCATTATTAAAATATTTACCTGTTTACGATGGCCATGGCAGGGACAGGGGTTGGACGTATTTCTTTTGGATACAAAGTGTGGGTTTGACTTTTTGGATAGCTAACGCCTCAGCTATGCCCAAATGTCTTGATTTCACTCCCTTTGACAGGTTTGATTGAATTTCGTATATTACTTTGAAGGACTTTTCGAAAGGCACTGAATGTCCTGAGTTGACCAGATGTTCTGTCACTGAACTGTATACACGTTTTTGCTCTTCTTTTACTAGCCAGGCTGGGTAGTGTTCACGAGCGCGTTTTCCAAGTTGGCGCATGGTACGGTCGATGTACTCAGCTCCACAGGAGCAAGTGAATTGGTATATGCACGTTGAGGTGGCCCAATGCGACAGCTTGTCTTTCGCGTTCTGGTTGAACAGTTTCTTGCAAGAAAACGTCAGTCGTAGGCTTACGGCGAAGTATGTTTTCATCAGCGATTTGGAGAGGCGTTTGCGAAGGATTTCTGCTTCAATATCACCTTTGAATTGTAGATTAAGGAGAAGTGTTTTCTTTGGGACGGATTGGACTTGTTCAGATTCTTGTCTATGAACCTGGGTGAGAAACCGTTTTCCATCAGGGTTTTTCGGAGATAACGCAGTTCTTCTTCGATCACTTCCTCGCTGCATATCTTCCGAATCCTCGAGGAAAGAGCGTATATCAGGTTTCTCTTTCTGCTTAGCGGTACGAAGCTTTGAAAGTTGATAAATTGTCCAGTCCATGTAGGCTTTTTGTATATGGACCATTTCAAAGAGTTGTTGTCATTTCTTGTCAGATGGACGTCCAGGAAGTGGAACATTCCGTCGGATTCGGTCTCAAGTGTAAAGTCGATGTTTGGGTGGGCGTTGTTGAAGATTTGAAGTAAGTTTTCAAGGTCCAGCTTCTCATCACAAATGATGAAAGTATCACCAATGTATCTCTTTTAGAGATGAAGGTCGTCGATAGTTGATGATAAGGGGTTGTTTTCGAGGCTGGCCACAAAACAGTCGGCTAACGTTGAAGGTGCAGAGTAGTAACAGCTCCTTTAGATAATGCATCGGTATGCCGAGGGGTGAATTATTATAGCGATACGTTTACTTATATGATTTCCTTCAATCCTGTGTTTGATCGATAGTAGAACTTATTGGTTTCCGTCGGATTCGGTAAATGCGTACATCATATTTTGGATATTAAACATGTCATTACATCCGTCATCATGCAATTATGTGTACTTTTTTTAAAGAAAGAACGATCATATTTGCAGTTTTGATAATACGACTTTTTTATTTCGTGGTTTCTCTTCAAAACGTTTGTGGTTTGCAATCGTATGAATCACGCATTCGTGAAAGTGACGATCAGTTCGACTTCATAGATCTCAACTTAAAAAAACAACAAATGATAGGTCAATTAGAAAATCCATCTACAGGAAACACACTTGAACTAGCCAATACTTGAATTATCACGGTATCTGCTTGATGGGCTATAAATGGAGCCTGGTGAAAATGCTCTTCAGCAGAGCTAGAAAGTTGTATTCAAAAGATAATATCGAAGAGGAACTTGCAAGCATAGAAAAGAACCTTATCGAAAGGTGATATTCTTGGATGTTCATATCATAATATGGGAAGGAAAAACCACCTAGACCGAAACCCGACATATTTGAAAAGAAACCAGTTTATCTATCTAGCTTATAAAAAGGTACAATTTAAGGTGCATTGAAAAGAACATTTCCAACCCCTGGACGTCTACATCTCCCTACGTATCTGGCTTAAACTAACTGTTATTATGGATTTGACTAACCATGTTTTGGTTTGACCACCACTGCCTCTTTTCCAACCTGATCTATGCTATATCAACTAACATCGCCACTCAAGGAAGGCGATAGCTGGGAATGCATGCGTGACACATGTCCTAACCATCGTCTCAATCGGTTAAACGTCTTCGACTGATTTCCCCTCCTACCTACTACTCAACCAAAGCCTAACCTCAATATTGCTCACCCTTTTCTACTACTTCATATGGGAGATAGAATGCACACATCTATGATGAAAGACAGCTAGTCTGTCTTTTCATGTCTTTCACTTTCATTGGCCATTTCTCACTCACAGCCAGCTGTAAATAAGGACAAAGCAAACTCCTGAGCAGTACACATATCCTTTGGTCAACAACCGACCGGATATCACGTCTACCAAGTCAGAGATGTCGTAAATTGGCGACAAATACCAAACGATTCTTCTGTGTCCGTACTGAGACTTTGTCAGCGATCAACCCTCTGGAGTTGGTCAACACGCTCGATTAACCACTTCACTTCTGCCTATCTTTAAGCTATGATTAAGTCAATGTAGTCCAGTCCAGTCCTGTAGGATCATTTCGCAACGTATGGGAGAGTTTCTGAAGACGGAAGGAAAGCTTATAAACAGTCAATTGTGAAGCCAGTTTAAAATGACTTCAAGAGAACCGAATGAAATAGAGGTGGTCTACTGAAGTAGGCATACTTTCCAATGTACTGCTCAGCACTCCGCCCCGTCCTCCTTTATGGCTGTGAGACCTGGCCATTGAGAGTCGAAGACATGAAAAGATTAGTTGTCCTTGACCATAGGTGCCTGCGTTCTATCTCCCGTGTGAAGTGGTATAATAAGGTGAGCAATATTGAGGTTAGGCGTTGAGTACTAGGTAAGGAGGGGAAATCAATCGACGAGGCTGTGAAATTACATCGACTGAGATAGTTAGGATGTGCGTTACGTATGCCTAGTCATCACCTTCCTCGACAACGGGCAATGTTAGCTGACTGGCATAGGGTCAGGCTGGAAAAGAGATAGCACGTGGTGGTCAAACCAAAACATGGTCAGATCAGTCAACGCAATCCACAACAGTTTAAGCCAGTCACGTATGAAGGTGTAGAGTTCCTGGTTGGGGTCCTCGGGACGTAAACACCAATGAAGGCTGGAGACAATTGGTGATATGGCTCAAAATCGTTCTCAATGGCAGGCGCAGATGCATGCACTCCTTGTGACTCATGATTTCCAATTAAACTGTTTTTTTCTTCGTTATTACTGTTCCATTTGTCTCATATCCCTATCTACTGTCGGTATTTTACATTTCTTCTACTTTCTTCTCTTGCTTTGTGTGCTACAAGGAATGGAATGTGGCGACTCGAACTGGTGGACATCGGTATAAAGTTCTATGTCGAAAACAGACAGACATACGTTCCAATCGGAACGGAAATGATTGACTGATTGACTAGATTCAATGTAGAACCTTGCACAGATTTGCAGCAATTCAAGTTGCCATTCTCCCTCCATATACCACACAGACCAAGAGAAGAGAGTAAAGAGTGGTTCATTAAAAAAAGACACAATAAATAAAAGTGTGAGTGAGAATTGTAATGGGGAAGAACGACAGAGTTGTATTGGATATTATAAATCACAAAGGGTGAATGCATCCTTACCAACACCACCACCCAGAACGACGATTTTCAGCCATATCACCGATTGTCTCCAGCCTTCACTGGTTGTTATCATCCCGAAGAAAGCAACCAGTCAGGAAGTCTACACCTCCTCTACGTAGCCGACTGGCCGACTTGAACTAACTGCTGTGGATTTCATTGACTAATCCCATGTTTTGGCTTGACCGTCACTGGCTCTTTTCCAACCTGATCGACTTTATGTCAGCTAACATTGCTCGTCCAGCAAGGCGATGGCTAGGAATGCATGAGTAACAGATGTCCTAACCATAGCCTCATTCGGTGTAACTTTACAATCTCGTCGATTGGTTCCCCCTTCTTTCGTTACACTCGACCGGCTTCTAACCTCAATATTACTCACCCTATTGTATCTACCACCTGACACATGGGAGGTAGAAGGCAGACGCTTATGCTCAAAGACAGCTAACCGGCCTTTTCGTATCTTCCGCTTCCAGTTGCCATATGTCATTCACAGTCATTAAGAAGGACAGAGCGAACTGTTGCTGAGCAGTACACACGTCGTTTGATCGATAGCCAACAGGATATCACGTCTATTAAGCTAGAGATGTTGTAAGTTGACGTCAACTGTCATACGATCCTTCTGTATCTATGGCGAGATTTCGTGAGCGATCAACCCCCTGAGGTTGGTTAACACGGTCCACTCAATACTTCAGTTCTGCTTATCTTTAAGCTAGGAGTGAGTCAATGTAGTCCAGTCGAGACCTGTATCGCATCATCTTACATCATGTCGGAGAGCTTCTGAAAAGGATAGAAAAGCCTTAAGGCAATCAACCATGAAGCGAATTTTAAATGACTTTTCAATGCTTCTCTAGCTGATATCAATCGATGATCAACTCGTAAAAACAAAAATAACCCTTACAAACCAAACTATAGAAAATTAATCTGAGGCTCGCTAGTGACTTTCTGCAGGATAGAGTTTCCTGCAGTGAGTTCTAGTGAGAAGTCGTGACCAGTGAAGTCCATCCAGATGTCACGTGTGAGGATGGATGTCCCACCTACGACAATGGTTGGTGCCAGTCGCGCTAAATCACGAATTGGTAGAAGTTAGAATTCATGCGTTTGGCCATTGAGGAGTCGGGTCCCAGTGGCTGAGTGGTATGCTAGCTGGCTTGCTTGTAACCGGAAGGTCCTGGGTTCGAACCCCACTGTGGTGGGTGCGTACTGCCGATGATTCCCAAGCACTAGGATGAAACAGCAGCTGTCCAGTACTCCCTGGTTGTTTTCAATGGTTCTCTAGCTGATATCAATCCGTGATCAACTCGTAAAAAGAAAACTAACCCTTACAAACCAAACTATAGAAAAAAAGTATTAATGTTACTTATTTCTTCTTTATCTATTTATTTTATTCCTAATTCCCATTTTAGATATTTGATAATTGTTTCGATAAAATTCTGACAGTAATACGTACAGAACAGGCGTTTGTAAATCAATTTTTCGGTTTTAATTTACATCCACCAAGTGATAAATCAGTGAGTCGACGAAGACAGTTTTTTTATTTATTGATTTATTTTGAAGTTGTTATTTATAATATATTCCTGTGTAGACGTGTGGTGTTCAATGGTAAGTCCAAGTTTAGTTCCTCTGTTGACACTCTTCTGAGGTTTATCTAGGTGGTAGATAAACTCGAGTGAAGGAGAAAGGTTGAACTCACGGCTGGCAACTTTACTCATTATAATTAAGGTTTATTTTGTATTTCCCAATGAATGAAAAGGACAAAACGACAATGTTGTTGTGTTTACTGACGTTTCGCTATTTAATGCTGTTGCTAATAGCTTTATTAAAGTATTATTAAACCGGAATTTACAAAATCTCAGCTTATATATAACAACTTAATCATCGTTCCTCAGCATGGTGGAATTTTCGCATTGACCAGTTGGCCAATTGGTAAACATAACAAAATCAGGTGTAGATTACTGTTGGATTTGATAAGTGTGTAAAATTATAAAAGCAGCGTGTGTTTACATAATGAAATTGCTTATCATATTCGTGTTGATTTTGTCATTTCATGGGGCAGAAGGGAGGTGTTGGAACCAGGTCAAATTCTGTTTTAGTCCACAATTCATTCCTATTCACCAGACGATTTGGATTCCATCTGATGATATGAAGTGCTTCTGATGATTCTAGTCGTTCTCTGTGATTTTTGAAATGCTTTTTCTGGATGATGATTTCAATATTGTCAAAATCAATTTTGTAGTCTGATGCGATAGTGTAGCGTGTAGACGACCTATGGCTGATGATTATCCAAGCTTTTTGAGCTCAACTGCATTTCTTGGTGGTCGAACAGATGCTCAACGGTGTTCATTACTTCTTATTTCGATTTTTCACTGGCTATGTTTGTCCGATGTATATCGCGTCACATTCCAAGCATTTTATTTCACAGACACAATTAGATTGAGAATCTTTAGGGATTTGGTCTTTCGCAGTGTGTCTGATGTTTTGAAGAAAACTGTGACGTTGGTTATATTTATTGAGTACTCTTCTGATATCATATGAATTCTCTGCTCTATGTGGAATGGCAGCTGTTGAGGTCCATGTTTTCGTAATACGTTTTCGAACATACTTAATGTCAATGTCGATTTTGTTGATATAGTTTTTTGGGTAATTATATTGCTTGAGGAACGATGGTTAAGTTGTTATGTATAAGCTGAGGAGATTTTGTAAATCCTGGTTTAATAATACTTTGATAAAGCTATTAGCAACAGCATTAAATAGCGAAACGTCAGTAAACACAACAACATTATCGTTTCGTCCTTTACATTCACTGGGAAATACAAAAGACCTTTATTATAATGAATATCATGTGCCACCCAATGCCCACAATTTTTCAAACTACTGAAATTGAACCTAGTATGGATGTATATAACTAGCAACTTTACTTCGTAAAAATTAGCACCAACGTTCCTGTGATTTCAAAACTCATGTATAAAGCTCATCATCACTGTATGTGGTGAATACGATGAAATAATGATTCAGTTAATACTTGAGTGTAGCTCAGGTTTGCTAGAGCAGTCTCAGAATTGATAATTTGGAAGCTGCTCGTTTTAATTCTGGAATTGTATATCCTTGAGAAGTTGGAAAAATTCTAGTTTTGGCAGTGAAAGCCGATCATCATGTTGCAGTAGGACCTGTGTGAATAAAGAAGTCTTTTCGAAGGTGACTCTATGAATTGTTTATCACATACATTATGTTGACTCACTCTTCCAACGAATTGGAACGAGATTTTCAGATCAACTTTAGCTAGTCATTGTCTGACAGGTTCCAACTTATCAGTTAACTAGCGAGCAATTTTGTAGTAGGATGAAGTCACCACTGAAAGTATCTTTGGTAAACTATACATATATGGTAGGTGAGATCCCTTTGGCTTAAATTCATTGTGTGTCTGTGGTCGTCAATCATTTTCTTCTCTGTCAAATCCGTTATATCCTTCTTGTGATTATCAATGTTGAATTTCGATGTGTCATTGAGAATGGACTCCATTTTCTTTCTGGATTCAGTCAGCCTTTTTCAACATTATCACGCCTGAACTTTTATCTGTTCACAGTATAACAATATCTTCATTGCTTAAGAGACGTTTAATTACTTTTAGGTGGTCTTTAGTCATGATTCTAGATCGTTGGAGATGTTAACTAGTCTTGATTTGATGCAATATGCAATGATGGAGGTTGTTTTTTGGTAGATGGTGCTAGGCCAAGTTTTAAGCAGGCCGTCGATAAAATTTGAGAGGGATTTACAATTTTTGGGATCGACCTTTTCTTACGCTGCCTTACGCATGCTAGTCATGTCAGGGCAAAACCTTACTGCTGTGACATCCCTATTCATCAACAGTACAAATTCTCCCAACCCCCCCCCCGCCAAAAATTGCGTAGAAAACTTCTAAGAGGATGGTAACTGCATTTTTTCTGATCGCTATCCCAACCATCTTTTTGACATGTTAGGGCCTTCAGCAACACTTTTTCCAGCCTTGTTGGAAATGGCGATATTATTATTATATTATTGTTTCCTTTAGTTCCTAGATGAACATAGGGCTTCAGCCCCAACGTCTCCATTGCGTTCGGTTCTCTGCCAACGTTTTCATCACCTGGCTCCACATCTGCTCACATGCTTTCATCTCCTCTTCACATAACCTTCTCCTTCTTGTCACCCTCGCACTGACGACCAACTCGCCGCTTCCCATTCGGGTTCCACTTGAGACACAGAGATCCTGGCATGTGATGTCACTCACTTGATAGTTTGTTTTCTCAGAGTATGACCAATTCACCTCCATTTCTTCCTGCTTATTTGTTACACAATCGGTTCCTGCTGGGTTGGTTCGCTCCCACAAATCCCTTACTATTGGTGATCATTTCTGACCGGCCATCTGATCTTGAATAGTATTTTAGCGAAGACAGCTGTTGATGAAGGTCTGTAGTTTGTTCGAAGTGCCCTTTATGACGCGACAAGTCTCTGATCCGTATGGTAGCGCTGATTTCACATTGGAGTTGAAAATTCGGATCTTATTTTTCATGGGGATATTGAAGTCTGAAGAATTAGAAGAAGACAAAAGAATTAGGTAACGGGATTGTTGATTGACAACTCGATACACTTAAGTAGGCAAAATATGTCTACCATCCATCAGGATCACAATTTTCACAAACCTTTCGTGTTGTACTTCTTTGTCTTTCTTTCATGCTTTTTCAAAAGCACCGTGTTCACTAAATCCATCCCTCCGCAGCTAATATACATATTTATGTATGTATCTATATTTTTATTAATATTTCCTTGGGTTCCGAGTGAACTATGTGGCTTCAACAATGCATCTCCACTTTGTTCTATTTTATGCTGTCCTCTTCAGCTGGGTCCGTGATTGACCATAATCTCTCGTTTCCTTCTCCTCCTTGTCATCCTCGCACTGATGACCCACTCGTCACGTGCTTCCCATTTGGATCCCACTCGAGCGATGACCTGTATTGGGCGCAGTGTCATTCAACGGCTTCCTTAATATATGCTTCAGCTTTCCATCTCCACTTTCTCCTACATATTTGCTCTCGCCTGTTGGTTTGTCGCCAGTCTGTTTCTTGTCACTAATTCTTTCTGACGGAACGTTTCGTCTTCAGTATGGACCCATCGAAGGTGGCAGCTGTTGATGAAAGTCTGCAGCAACTTGTTGGAAATCATTTTCGTGACACGCGGTGCAAGTTTTTGATCGGTATGGAAGAATTGACCGACTTGACATTGGTGTTGAAAATCCGAATCTTGTTCTTTTTGCTGAGTTAGTGCAAAAGATTTGCAAACTGATTTCAGGTTGATGCAGTCTTATCTTGCCTTTCTGATTCTGACGGGCTTTGACATATTCATCCGTTCCCTCCGCCTGTAGTTGAAAGGATGCTTCCTGGTCAAATTAGCGAAGGTGGCAACCTGTGTTAAATCTCTCTCGTTGATGGCGATTGAAGCTGGTTTTTATTGTTGTTGGTCGGGGTTATCTTCATCACCTCCGTCTTCTCTATATCCACCTGGTGTCATGTCTTCGCTGTCAGTTTCTCCAGCCAGTTTGTTGGTTTTCGCCTGTAAGTAAGTCTTGGAGTTTGTCTGAAATTGAAAACGAATCATCCACACGCGAAATCCAGATCTTCTATAGTCTTCTTATCTGTGGTCCAACGTATTCCTGTCTCCTCACTCCCCATGTACAACAGTCTGACGCATAATCCAGTCCACCACAATTAGGAATATCATTGTTGATAATAGGCAACCAACCTTGTCTTACTCCTGTATTCACTTCGAACGCCTCACTCCGTTTTCCGTTGTGGATTACCTGACACGTGGCATTATCATACAGTCAGCTGTGGCTGAAGCTTTGGGGCACTGTACGCCGTAGTGTTTTCAAATTACTTCTCGGTTAACGCTGCCCGTCGAAAGGTCTTTTCGAAGTCGATGAAGGAAGCTGAGGTAGATTGATATTTGACTGCCATTCTATGCTTTCTTCCGTGATGACGATGACAATGCATAGAGTTGCAATTTGATCAGCACATGATTTGCCTTTCCTGAATCCCGCCTACTCCGTGTAGTGGGATTCTTCATCCAGTTCGTGCTTTATTCTCTCCAGGATGATGCAATTTCACATTATGTATGTATATTTATTATGGCTTCAATTTTACACCTTATTAACACCCGAAATGCTTTTTTTCCCTCTCTCATTCTTCCCCTTAGCCTAATACCCACAAGGTCTATTCCGGGGATGAACTACCCAGCCTATTGGATTGTATGTTCCAGTTATTCGATGGTGTTGAACAAGATGTGCTGAATTTAGTTGTAAATTGTGAACAACTATTAACGATTCTTATTATGCCATTACTTATATCAATTTCACGTATCACAGAGAATGAATCCGCTCAGAATAGTGGAATTGTCGAGATGACTGGTGGCAATCCGAAACAGTTACAGTCACAACAATCAGCATCATCAGATGTGACCAAAGTACAAGTGACATTTATTGGTAATTTCTTATCACGACTTATTGTTGAAACCAAGAGAGCATTCAATCGTCTTATTGTAAGTGGCCTTCTCATAAAATTATTCTTTATTGATTGTGAGAGTATTGAAAGACATTTATGCTCCAGTTTTTTTTTTCCGGTGAAAATGGGGAATGTATTTATCATAATATCTGCTTTTTTTTAAAAATTATTGATTGTTATTATCTCTCATCTCCTCTGTACAAGGTCTTCTCCATGTCACCCCGAGGTTGAACGCTCAACTCACTCAGCAATCTACTCAATGTGTGTGTGCCTGTCCGATTCATCTCCATTTAAGATATGATAGAGAAGATTTGTAGCTCAGGTGGATGATTTTGATGTGGTTGTGTTCTCTGAACTGGATAGTTAATTTGCGAAGCTTTCATCGCCCTACTGGACAACATCGTCACTTCAGCGCATACTTCAATTTGAATTGAAGTGAGCTTTTAGATTTCTCCACGAGTTTATTATTCATCTCTCCTGGTTGGTGACCTTGGATGTGACTGGTTGTTTTTCTGTGGTTTCACACACCCTCTAGGCCACTTGTGTTGGAACTGATTGTTTCTTTGGCTTGAACTTTGACAATTTGTGTGTGAGATTTCCTTCTTATTGGTTGTTAAATTTTGTCTATTTCGATGTGTCTATTGATTGACGATTCACTGGAATACCAGACAGGCTTCTAAAAATTCTCTAGCATTCTTGGTCTTTCCTCCATCTAATATTTGAACGCTGGTTGTCCCAATCGAATTGATGTCCGTGGTTGTCTGTATGCAGTGATATGAGGCCAAAGTGGACGTCCCCTTCGTCTTCGTATCCATGAATATAAGCTAGCCGTCAAAAGACAAGACATCCACTCCTTCACTCATATCGCCTCACTGCATACAGACAACCACGGATATCAATTCAACTAGGACAACCAGTGTTCAAATATTAGATGGAGGAAAGACCAAGAATGCTAGAGAATGTTTAGAAGCCTGTCTGGTATTCCAGTGAATCATCAATCAACGGACACATCGAAATAGACAAAATTTAACAACCAATGAGAAGGAAGCCTCACACACAAAGGGTCAACGTTCAAGTCAAAGAAACAATCAGTTCCAATACGAGTAGCCTAGAAGGTGTGAAAACACACACAGAGACAACCAAAGAGTCACGTCCAAGGTCACCACCAGGTGAGATGACTAATAAACTCGTGGAAAAATCTCAAGGCTCACTTCAATTCAAATTGAAGTATGCGCTGAAGACATTGCCTAGTAGGGTGATGATAGCTTCGCAAAGTAACTATCCAGCTAGCTCACAGAACACAACCACATCAAAATCGACCACCAGAGCTACAAATTTTCTCCATCATATCTAAATAAACTACATTGAATTAATCATGCAAAAATGCACGTGTGTGAACGTTTTCTAGGTCAAGTAAAGGCAGATGTCAGTAGACTGCCGGAAATACTTTCGGCAACACGTCAAGTCTCTTTGAAGGACTTGTCTTAGAAGGACTAATTTAACATTATTGTCGACAATCTGAATCTTATTCATCTAAATCTAATGCTGTTTTATTTCTTGTCCCCCTCTTCTTTGTTATCCACAGGAACGATTAATTATGACATTTAAAATGAGTAAACCAAGTCGTAAAGCTCGATGTGGTATTCTCACTATCGTGAGAACGTATATTGAATTTGCAGAATGTTCTATCACCGTGTTTGCAACAAGTTCACGTCTAGTTGACTTAGAACGTGCTCATGGTGAGCTAGTCCGCTCTTTGATGACAGAAATTGATCGAGTGGCATCAGAAAGTTTTAAAACACCCGGTGAAGTAGTTCAACTAGGTATGTGTTTCTTTTTCTTGATATTTTTTTATCATTTTCAAAAGGTTTTATGTGTACACTTCAAAATTTCTACCTTATACTTTGTGATATGGGTATTCCTGACCGATAGCTGCTACCTTGACGTGGTGGTCGGCCTTGCACATCCCGATGACCTAACAAGCTACACTGGCTGTAGCCAATGTTCCTGCAGGTCCTACCATGCCAGGAAGGTTGTTACGATAGCGATTAGACTAAAAGCAGTTACCGGCTTAGTGTAAGAATTTTTCTTTTTTACACTATGCTGGGGGTCTGTGGGAAAAGTCGTACTTCTGGGGAACAGGAATGTGACGGCAGTAAGGTGTTTCCCTCAGACGACCAGTATGCCAGCCAGCTATGCTGTCTCTCCACTCTGGAGGGAAGGGATTAGAAAAAGCCGACCCCAACAACTGTACATCTCGACCTACCCTACGGTGGTGCGTAACCGGCGGTAAGTTTACTAATACGGAAGCAATCCAAGAAACCAGTTCATACAGGCCGTGTGTGGCCGGCCGGTCTCAAGCAGTTGTCCCCTGGGCTCTGCGGTCACGCCACACTAATCCTCTTTCTGTTCCAGGTACCCGAAGAATCAATTAACTTCCACGGTGTGGGCAGCTGGGAAGTATCAACCGCCCACACACTTCCAAAAGACAGATATGGGTATTAGTATTATTGTAGTGTCTACTACTTGTAGACATATAAGTAATATGTTGGGAGGAACATTTTGTGATCTTCAACAGTTTGTCCATGTTCATAGGTTGAACTGCATCTGTATCGACAGAAGACAAGGGCCAGGCAACAGATCGTTTATTGAGGAAATCAACAGATATTTATAGATTTTTATGTACATTATTATTAGCGTTATTGTTAGCAGAGAAGCAACGTCTTTTGATTGGTTGTTTTCTTGCTGAAGGTTATTCTGTCATCTCTTTGTGGCCGTTTCTTAGACAGTCCGTTGATATATCTGCTAATCGTATCCGCCCACGCTAAGTCTGCTGTGATTGGTTGTTGAGTTCCTCAAGGTTAGTCTTTGTTCTTGTTTTTTTCTCATGATCAAGATTTGGGACGTAGATTGCTGTCTACCAATTTTGGCTAGCAGACAGCTGTCACCACACATCTACTAACACTAGCTGATGGATGTGATAGCTGCAGGGATGCATTCCATGAATCGTTAAGCTAACGGCTGTACTTTTAGATCTTTGTCGAAGACTTGTAACTCACGTCGCAGGAAATTCGTTAGTGTTAGTAACAGAACCAACCAGCGAATCTTCAACTTAACCAAACCCCGAGGACTCCTTAATTTATTCAATGCCTTCTGTGTCGGACACTGAAACCAACTGCCCAACAACTTCCTCCCATGATGTCTCTGCGCAACAGCTTCACAGGAACTGTTGTAACCAGCTTTGATTTCTTCTTTTGCTGCACATATCGACTAGTTTGTTGAGAGCTCCAATATCCTTCAAAAAGGGCACTCGCATCTCTCCTTTCAAACTCCTAAGTCCATGACATCTTATTATTCGATTCTTCTCAGTGTGTTGCTACCTTATTCTTGCATCTCTTTTTCACTGGATATTCTATAGTGGCATATAAATGCCATCAGTCTTCGTTCGGAGACCCTACCTCATATGAGGAATTAGTGCAGACTGTTACTATGATTCTTGTTTATTTTTTTTACGAGTTGATCATGAATTGATATCAGTTAGAGAACCATTGGAAAACTTGCAGGGAGTACTGGACAGCTGTTCCATCCTAGTTTGGGAGTCATCGGCAGTATGCACCCACCGGGGTTCGAACCCAGGACCTCCCGGTTACAAGGCTGGTTTTCATTGGTTTTCTAAGTGATATCAATCCGTGATCAACTCGTAAAAACAAACTAACCCTTACAAACGAATTATGGAAAATTCTTGTTTTTGTCTAAATGAGTGATAGTTTCTACTTTAATCCATTCTTAGTCTTACTACCAAGGATTACTAAGATTGTTGATGTTAGATAGTTGGAGGCAATCGGCCACAGGAAAGCCTTGGACCTAGGTGTTGGGCTTGTTGACACTCACCAGTCAGGGCAAGGCGTATCTGCAACCTCGAAGGAACTCATGTCTCTCCTTTTGAGAGTCGAACCCGCGTCACCCGGTGCAGTCTGCAGTCATAGATGTTACCCCTGAGCTGGCCATATTGCAAACTTGACTGATGGAGTTCAGTCTGCACCAAATAAAGGACTAGGTACACTACCCTAGTCACTGACTGCATGCGGCACTGGGTGACGCGGGTTCGAATCTCAGAAGGAGGGATATAAGTTCCTTCAAAGTTGCAGATACTCCTTGTTAACTGGTGAGTGCTAACTAGCATGAAACCTAGGTCCGTTAGAGTTTCCTGCCGACTGCCTCTAACCATCTAATATCAATAAATGAATCTCCAAACAATACAAATTCGTTCCGTATTTTTAGTTTGCACATATACATACAAGATATTGAAATAAGATAACTTGACTTTGCCTAAGGCAATGAGAATCAATTCAGAATAATTTTAATTTAAGTTGTAAAGTAAATTAGATTTGATTCATTCAGTAGTGCCAAAATGAGTTTAAAAACTCCCCATTCAAAATGTTTAGAAGGGAGAAAAATATCCGAGGAATTAGGGTTTTCAATTAGTTCCTCATTTTTATGCCTCTAAACTAATATATATAACCGTTTAAAGATAGTACATCGGAAATTATACCCATTATATGGGGATGGTGCGCGTTAGTCAATAAGAAATATCAGTTTTGAGGTAGGAGTTCAGGTGTTGAAATAGCTATGGAATTCAAGATCAGATGGAGGATTTCATCATGAGCTGACATCAGTTAGAGAACCACTGGAAAACCAGTTGTTTCGTCCTTGTTTAGGACTCTTCATCAGTACGAACCCACCACCACGGTTTGAACCCACGATCTTCTGGTTACAAGGCGAGCTAGCTCGTAGACCATCGAACCACTGGGACCCGATCCAGTGTCCGGCCCATGAATCATAACTTCTGCCAATTCACGACATAGCGTGACCATTTCGCAATGTCTTCTTCGATGGCTTACTGCCTCATCTTCAACCTGCTGTACCCTACTGGTCACCGCTTCCCACTAGAACTCCAGGTCACTGCCTTGAAGAGGGCCAGTCGTTAGTCAGCATCAGATTTATTTTCAAGTATTGGTTTTGTAGGGACGTAGTTTGATTGGTTGGAGGATTTCATCATGAGCTGACATCAGTTAGAGAACCACTGAAAGACCTGGGAGCGCTGGACAGCTATTTCGTCCTAGTTTTGGATTTTTCAGCAGTACGCATCCACCGGAGTTCGAACCTAGGACATTCTGGTTGCAAGGCGAGGTTCGAACCCCGGTGGGTGCGTACTGATGAAGAGTTGAACTTTGTCCGTTATAACCTAAGGCCTGCTTAGTGGATAATTGGTGACTATCAGTGGAATCTAGTAGATGTCCTATTTTAGGACCTCATCAGCTAGTGGATGTGCCTGCCATCCCAAATGAGAGTGATGTTAGTTTCCGTGTGGCCCAAACTGAGTGCTGCGCTTATTGTTTCAATTTGTTTATTATGTATTATGATACGTTTCAACTTCAAATATACATCAGAAATTTAAGTTCTATTCCAGAAATTGAAACGATGAGTATTGCGGTTCTTGTCTCAGTGTAATAACAGAAGACAAGGGCCAGGCAACAGATCGTTTATTTACGAAATCAACACATATTTATAGATTTTCATGTACATTATTATAGATTATTGTAAGCAAACAAACACAGTCTTCTGATTGGTTATTTCTCGCTGAAAGTTAATCTTTCACCTCTTTGTGGCCGTTTCTTGAAGTTCAGATTATCTATCTGCAAATTGTATCTGCCTACGCAAAGTGTGCTGTGATTGGTTGTTGAATCAGTCTTTGTTCTTATTTTTCTCATGACCAACATTGGGGGCGTAAACATTGACGTAAATTACTGTCTACCAATTTGTCTAGCAGACAGCTGTCACCACATCAGTAGGAGCGCACTATCACTCACTGAAGATTACACGTACGTACCAAACATCTTCAAAGCACTGAAGCTTATAGTACAGTGCATGTGCTTTTAAGCCTAAACTCTACATTCAGAAGATATTTGTTCAATTATTGAATTTAGAATAGACCTAATTTGTCTAATTATTTGACCTATTTTCATACTATTATGCATCTATTCCTTACAACAGTAATCTTGACTTGACCATCTGTCAGTGATGGTTATGTCACTCAATTTATTTACTGATTCTTACCTTAGTCTCTATCTGATTCGTATTTCTACATCAACGTAATTTTCTTTAGAATCTCTCGTTATTTAGAACTCATTTCAATGTCATATATTTGAAAACATTCCTTTTTGTCGTTAAGGCAATGTATTATATTTTTGTGTGTGTGAGTGTACAGCTTGAGACTGACTTCACTGAGGAGGCGAACTTTTCAGTGGATGCCGCCTCTTGCCTTTAAATCAACATTCCACAAGTTGTACGTCATATATTCAAATTCAGCTGTAATTGATTTGATTCCCGTCAATGTTGTCTTCATCCTCGCCTTGCTTATCAGTCGATAGTTCGCCTAGGAATGTGAGAAGCTGATCGATCTCATCACATCGACAACTTTACTACTGATACGGCGAATTCATGGGCTTGAAACCGTATGTTTCACTCGAAATTGGTTGTCAAAAGTTGCAATACACAACCCATTATATTGAGTCACAGTAGCTGAGCGGTCAACGATAGTTGGGTGGAAACCCAGTGGGTGCGTATTTCTGAGGAGTTTCAAACTGGGACGAAACAGCTGTCACAGTACTCCATGGTTTTTCAAAGCTTCTCTATCTGATGTCAGCTTATGATCAAACGTTTGAAATACACTCACGTATTGCGTGTAGTCTTTGAAATGTAGTACTGTAACCTTTTCTCAGTGTTTGCAAGTTGTGATATAAGTAACAAATATGTAAGAAAACATTATTGTTTTTATTATTACTATTTTTGGTTATTTTCGGTTATTTTTCAGAAAATTATCATCGATTATGTGATATTCTCCGCCGACTAAAAATGTCCGGTTTAGACGAATATCGTCAAGATGCAAAAAATCGATATACACTAGCACTACAAGAATATACTAAAAATTGTATGGGTCGTCCTTTAGAAAAATTAGCTGTAAGTCTATTTGTATGTGTGTATACTCTACTGTACTCTACACTTGTTTATGTTATGTTTCAATGGTTAGATTTCTTCGTCACGAACCAACATCAGTGAGAAAGATCATTGGAAACCGCCAGGGAGTGCTGCACAACCTGGCTATCAAATGTTGGGTTTACAATGCTTTGGTGTGTACAGTCTTGTTCCACACCTGCAGATTCTAGCCCCTCTGAGCTGAGGATATGCGACGGCTCTGTGTATTCGATCATCGTTACCTCCTATGACATTATATCATGTGAATAATTCTGAGATCAGGCAGTGTGTGTTTGAACACAGTGGAGATCACCATTCATTGAGTGTCGTCATTTGCAAACACCTGCTTCAGCGGTTTGGACATGTATCACGAATGTCCCTACCTCTCGCTTTCTGCTACTCCTGGGACTGAGTGGAAAGCAGTAGAGGTGGTCAGCATATAATATGGCGCCGTGGAGTGAAGGGTGTTTATGTTAGATTGGTATCAGTTGGGACGTTGTCCACTTTGGCCGATGTAGTGTTTTTCGCAATTGCTACAATTTATTTTGTAGATGATGTTGATTTTATCTTCTTTCGTTGTTGAGTCTTTTGGTTGACATAAAGCCAGCTGAGTGAAGTGATTTTGCTGGTTTGTGTGCGACGTCAATTCCTAGAGGTTTGAAGAATCTTTCAGGGATTTCTGAGATGTCCTTTATATATGTTAGGGTGATTTTCTTCGTGCTTTCCTTGGGGGTCTTTGATTTGATAGGTCGGCTTGGGGGTATATGTCTTTTGTTGAGATAAAAATCTCCATCATATCTAAACTACGTCTTCTTATTGTCCTTTTTTCGAAATTCATTAGGGGAACTAATTGCTTTAAAAACATCGAATTTCATGCTCTTTTTTTCTCTTGATATAAACATCTACAGAGTTTCTTTGAAAATGTACAAAGCGCTTTAGAGGCTGGCGTTCGACCAGAAGTTGTCAGTTATCAATTTGCCTTTAGTAAACAAGAATTACGTAAAGTGATTAAAGAATATCCTGGGAAAGAAGTAAGTTCTGTTGTATTCACTTTCCTTTCCTATATGATGTGTACAGCCATGCACACTCACAGAGGTATTGTGCGTCCTTTTCTGTTCTCCAATGTTTAAAGGCGAAAACTAACAATGTTGACAGATGAGGCAAGCAGCAAAGGGACAGTACTTTAAGTGAATATAGAGAAGACGGGGAATATGAAAATATCCAACCAACCAACCAACAACAAGAACCAATCGCCTTCAATGGAATAAAAATTTGTAAGAGGTCACTTCCGTCGGATAAGTATGAAACTTGGTCACTGTGGTGGTAGAGTATAACTGCATTATGGATAAGATTTTATTTTGATAAATCACACAGTGTTGGTGTACAGTAATATTAACTGATGACCACGTTTCGAGCACAAATTATTGCCACTCATAATCATATCAAGTCAATCACTCACACAACTTTTTTGCTTCATTTATATACATGAGTGAAAATTGATTAGACATTTGATTAAAATCAATATAAGATAATGTACATTCAGAAATAATAATATGAGTGTTATCAATCAAATACAATCAGATGGGAAATAAGACGAGTGTTTTTATAGTCAAAATAAATAAGTAACTTGTTAGAATGTTGTGATGTACGTGAATTGAAATAGAATTTTAAGATTATTTATTATCCTCTTCTGATTTGACTGACTGGTGGTAATAATATCTTCCATGCATATCTCTGGTATTTGCATTGAGTCATTTCTGTTGCATGTGTTGTGTTGGGTGTAGATTCGATGAACCAGGCAGGATTCAGTAATCAACCTCTCTCTCCACCTACCTATATTACTTCTTAGAATTTTAACCCTCTCCCACCCTATTGTGTGGTTGTGTGTTAATGCATGCATTGCAATGTAGTGCTGAGCTTTTTTCTAAATTACTTATCTTCTCGGGGTCAACCATTCTTACCTTAGCTAAATTCTTATGTTCCGACAATCTGACTACCCCGCCCGATCTACTAGTTTGACCTATATAGTTGACCTCACAGTCATTGCAGGGTATTTTGTAAATTATATTATTTTGTTTATTGGGTCAACCGGGTCTTTTAGCCTACAGAGCTTGTCTCTGAGTGAGTTTGTAGGTTTGAATGCCACCAGCTTCATTCCTGCTTTATTGAGAATCCTACGTAGGGTCTCAGATGTCCCCTCCTTATATGGTATAACAGTAGATGCCTTATATTCTCTCTTATTTATGTTATCATTACTAGTTTCACAATTATTTTTATTTTGCTTTGGCCTTTACTGATCTTCCAATATCTAATCGATTCCACACATGTATATAAATGAAGAAAAATGTTGTGTGAGTAACTTGATATGATTATGAGTGGCAATAGTTTGTGCTCGAAACGTCATCAGTTAATATCACTTCCTTCACTTATCTGGCTAGGCAACATCGATTCAACTACAGGTGTGTGTGGTGGGGTCACGGATGAGGATGACAAAACCAGAGTCGGAAAGGCAAGGCTAATCTTCATTATTCTGAAACCACTTTGAAAATCTTCTGCACTCAGACAGCATAAAGAACAAGATTCGGATTTTCAACACCAACCAATATGGGTCAGAAAATTGACACACGGGTCACAAAAAGCATTTCAGACTTTTATCGACAGCCACCTTCTTCCCGTGGTGAAAATCAGATGACTAGTAGAGGAAATGGCATCAAGAAACTCTGGGAACTAATCAGTCAAGAACCTATTGCTCAACAAGTATGCCGGAGAAAATGGAGACGCGTCGGACACACACTGTGGAGAACGTCGGGTGACATCGCTCGCTTTCCTATTCTACGCAACGTATCGATTACAGTGCACATACATACACACACAAGGAATTTGTGCATCTTTTCCAATATCCAATTGCTTGCCTGTTCTTTTGCAGTGGAGTAAGTTGATGGTTAACGTGGTTGGGTCATGTGTTATACATGCCTACGTATTATCGTCTTCTCTAATGTACTGATTTAACGTTGTGAGATAAATATTGAGTAACTTATACGAAGTTCAAGTTGACAGATTGACACCAGGAACACTTGACACCCATTTCGTTCTAGTTTGGGACTCCGTAGCAGTACTTACTCACGACTACATCAAGGACTGAACCCTGGATATTCAAGTTACAAGACGAACCACCTGCTGACTGGAACTTCAGCAGTCTGATCTTCTTCCACTCCCAGAGTCGGAATTCAAACGCCTACTGCTTATGTGTACCATGGATGTGCAATTCCAATTTGACAACACTCTTTACCGCCAAATAGATGGTGTAGCTATGGGCAGTCCCTTGTTAGCCCTGTTTTAGCAGATATATTCATGTCCAACCTTGAAAGAACAAAGTTGAAGCATGGAATCGACGAAACAACTTCCTACCTACTGTCGATATGTTGATGACACATTTGTAGTGTACAACAATGAAAGTCATGCTTCACACTTACTCAGATTATTCAATGATGCACACACCAATATTGAGTTTACTATGGAACATGAAAGTGACGGAAAGTTCCACTTCCTCGACATTGCCATGCAACGCCTAGAAGACGGTAGTCTTCAGAAGTCAATTTATCAAAGCCCAAGGAAAGACAATACTTACATTAATAGCTTTTGTCTAAATAGCTTTAAACGCGGACTAGTCAAGACTCTGTACTATAGAGCGAGAAGAATATGCTCTATCGAGAAATTAGAGGAAGAATTTGAGTTTCTTGAAAAGATATTGAAGAGCAATGGGTACCCTCAAAGGTTCATCAACAAGTATGGAAGATCTGAAGTCACAAATATAAACTAAATCACAGTAGGAAAAAAGCCACTCTACTTTCAGCTTGATTATAAAGGTGAAAACATTGCAGCGATGATCAACAGAAGGCTGAGTACGTCACTAGCCAGAGCCTATCCTGCAGCTAAGCTCGTTCCCGTCTATCGAACAACTTGCTCTTTGGTGCAATAGATATCCTTCTCATGTTAACTCCAACTGTATAACAAATTTACATGTATCTGCGGGAGCAGTTACATTGGAAGCACTGAAAGAAGGGCATATCTACGATTTTCTGAACATGTACCAAAAAGCTTATGTCTTAAGGGAACAAATGCTTTAAACAGTGCCATCGCCAGGCACTTGATATTTGATGCCTATTAAAGTTATCCATCTTGACAAACCGAATACCTCCACTATTTTTTTTACCAAAGTTAGTGTAAGCAATAAATAAACTAATTCGTTACCCAATTACTGTATTGATTTAATTGAATTTTAGATTTTCCCGTCGACTGATTGGACCGAAGTGCTCGGTCTCAGGTTTACATGTCTGTCGGCTTCTTATGCAGATGCTTCGACAATGTCTGGGCATGTAATTAGAAGTTAATTGGTGGATGGTGACTAGCAATCGACGGGAAAGTCTAAAATTCAATTAAATAATAATTAATATGACCCATTGCACAAGAGGCGGTGGCTCTCGTGGCCCAAGTGGTCTAGTGGATAACGACGCTTTGGCTGGTGTTTGAAACTATGGTCACTGGGTTCGAGTCTCGGTGGTGGAAACATCATCACTCGCTGACTGGGGAATGCAGGTACATCCAGTGGCAGACAAGTCCCAAATAGAACGAAATGCGCGTTATCCTGGATGGATTTCACTGTTAGTCACCATTCACCAATTAGACTGTATCGATTATATTTTGTTTTCTTGTTTCACAATATGAGCATTAATTTTTTGTATTGTTTTGTTTTTAATATTGTTTTAGGTTAAACGTGGTTTAGAGAGTTTATGTAAAAAAGTTGAAAAACATTTATCCGATGAAGAGAATTTATTCCCTGTAAGTTCCCCGCCTTGCTTTTTCCCTTGATAATCTATCCTTTTAAGCATAAGTTTCTTGAAATATGCTCTGAAAAGAAAGTAGATATTTACAAAAATTTATCTTGATAAAGTCTCAGTGTGCTATACACTAATATTTACTAATAACTCACTCACTAGTAGAGGGAATAAAATTCACGTTTGAATCGGAAAATGAATGAACAAGGAGAATTACCTATACTGCTGGATTGTAAAATAAAACGAATAGAAGAAGGTAAACTGCACTGCACACTAGCGTTTATAAAAAGCCAACACATTCTGCTAATAGATACGTAGACTTTAATTCATCTCATCCGTCGTTATCTATGTGTGAAGGCCAGACTTAGTTAAGTGTGTCTAACAGTGTGTAACCGAGCAGTAGCACTAAATAGTACAAGAAAAGACCTTAATGATGAAACGAAACAGATAGAAGAGGCGTTAGTGTTAAATAACTATCCTATAAAATTCATTAGGAAGATTGAAAAAGGCCAAAAGAAAAAGAAAAATAATTGTGAAACTAGTAATGATAACACAAATAAGAAAGAGTATATGGCATCTACAGTGGTTCTACCATATAAGGAGGGGACATATGAAACCTTATGTAGGATTCTTAATAAAGCAGGAATTAGACTGGTGGCATTTAAGCCTACAAAATCACTCAAAGACAAGCTCTGTAAGTTAAAGAACCCTGTCGGTTGATCCAGTCAAACAAAATAATATAATTTACAAAATACCTTGCAATGACTGTCAGTTAGGTCAACTACTAACTACATGGGTGAAACTAGTAGATCGGATGGGGTAGTCACATTGTCTGTGAGAAGATAAAGATTTAGTGGCTAAGGTAAGAATGGTTGACCCCAATCGCGAAGATAAGTAATCTAGAACAAACCTCAGCACTACATTGCACTGCATGCATTAACAAGACACAATCACCCACACAACAGGGTGGGAATGAGAGGGTTAAAATTCTAAGAAGTAAGTAATACAGGTTGGTATGTAGGTGGAGATAGAGAGAGGTTGATCACTGAATCCTTGTTCATCGAGTCTACATACATATGGAACATATGCAATAGGATGCAATAGCTCATCACTCACTCACACTGGAGACATGAAAATGGAAAATACCCCTACTACTAGCAATCATCCGGTCAAGTGAAGCGATGAATTGAAATAATGATGGAATTATATAAAGGAAGTTAGAAAGTTGTGTGAGTAGTGGTGCCTTGATCTTGATACGACTACTATGAGTAGCAATGATAAATTGTGCTCGAAACGTGGTCATCAGGAAATATAACAGAGACTGTAGAAACTCGCGAATCAACAGGTTTTAAATGTGTTTTTTAATACTACTCAGAGTAATCAATATATGGTGCTAGATTTAAACCAACTGAATAATAGAATGTCTTTGCAATATGTAATGACGGAGGTTGTTTTTGGTGGTGGGTGCTTGTAGGTCAAAATTTCAAACAGGCCACTTTTATATATATCACACTAATACCCCCTCTCCTTTTTCCTCTCTCTGTCAGGTTGTATGGCGTTCAATACAAACAGAATTTATGACTCAATGTTTACGCTTTAGTAATTTAATTCAACAATGTTATCCAGATTCAGGAATATGCTTAGAATTCACGGTGAATGATTTACAAAATTATTTTGCTGAAATTGCACGTTCACGTTAACCCCAATATAATAGTGTGAGTTTGAGTCTCTCCCGACCCTGACGGTGATTGATTGATTCCAACAGATTGAGTTGCACAAAATACATTGATTACGCCATCTTTTTTCTTATACAATTTTTGAAATGTGTGTCTATACGAACGCTTACATGGACTACTTACAGGTTGAAGAGTGTACTCATGCCTAAAGCAGAAATGCATATTTTAGACTCATGGTTTATCGATTATGCGCGTATGATTGCTAACTTCTATCCCAATTTCATGATGGTGATGATGACTTCAGTTATTCGTTTTGTCTTTTTTCTTTTTTTAATTTCTGATATAACTTATGCATATTTTGTATTTGAATAAAATCAATAGAAAGAATCGATTTTTTATTTTTTTAAAAAGATCCTGTTTGCATTTGTATATCTTCTTCGTCTTCTTCTTCAACGAAGAGACTCCCGCCAACAACGAATTTATTACACAAAATAATGGAGCAAAGAGTATTCTTTTCGGTAAATTCCTCTTCTGACTCCACAATTATATACGTATATATGTTTATATACATAGAATATTCTAGAATAGTAGTCAATAACAATATTAGTGCGTTTTTTAAATAATATCGATTTGTAAATTAAGATCATAGTGGAATTACAGTCCATTAAAGATGCTAAAATTGTAATAATAAAGATATAATAGCGAATAGAATATCAACTAAAATTAGGGAAATTCCACAAAAATTCAGGATTATTCAAACCTGGGTGGCCAAAGTAAGGATAATGTCTGAACTAGCTTCTTTTGAACACATAAATTAGACTTATTAATGTGGATCCCCTACAGCCTCAGCAATATTTAGTAGTCGAACTCTTAAGGCGAAATTGAGATTCGTAGGTATCCGGTAAATGACCCTGAAAGCATGGTTAATGTCAATCTTGTGTTCTGTCTCCACAAGGTGAGACAAGATGGCCTTGAAATACAAACGGCCATACAATTAGGCGTGTTTCTCGTCGAATTTCCGAACATCACCCTGCACAGTGGTTAATACTAGTAGTATGAAATGCAATTAAAATATTTGTGATTATAATCATTGTTAAATGTTAGATGGCAATGCAAATTAGTGTCATATATAGAATAATTCATAGGATGTATAGAACTTGGAAGGAATGTGCAATTATAGGATTAGTAGGCAAATCGAATTAAGTGAAAACTTTACGCAACATTGTGTGAAATCCGATAACATAGAATTTAACGTTGCAAGACAGAACTGATTTAGAATGGCAAGTGAAATAATACCGGGGACAGTTCAGAGTTGGGATAGTAATAGTAACAATTGACATAATAAACGAAGAGTATATAAATTGAATAGACAAAGTGAAAAATTGGTAGAGCAATAATATGATTGGGTATTACCGTACATTAGCATAGGGGGATTAGGACTGTGAAAGTTGGAGGGGTTGAACGAACTTTTTCTGCACACAGAGATCTGGTTTTTCTGTTTCGATAGCCAAAGCTGCTTCAGCAATACAGATGAGTTGGGTCTGTAGTGATTTCGGTAAATTACTCTTTGCCTTGTAGATGACTTTGAAGGTGGAGGTATTAATACAATTTATGTGTATATATATCGATCAGATGTGAACTGATTCCATTGTGGTGAAATTTTTTTTGTCACCATTGTTTTTATTAATACTGCTCTCTTCTACAATATAATTATTATGTAATGACTTGTATGGTTGTAAAAAATAAAGGACCTAATTATTTTTTATTACACTGTGAAATTTTCATCTCATCTGATTGATGCTGTTTTGTTTTTGCTTTGATTACATTTTGACCTCATTTCACACACACACACAGCCACACTCACATCCACGAATGTGTCGAAAATTCCATTCTTCATGGAATACTAATTTATGCTTCTTTTTTTAAAAAAAATCAACTTTTCATCCATTTGACCTCGAGGTTTATTTTCGAAAAAATATATATTCTGGTTAAATGACATGCTGTAATAATTCCAAAATACATTAGGTCAACTATCTACCACGATATATATACTACTTAATACTAGCTAGCTAGCTATAATGAGTAGTATAGAAGAAAAGACAATGAGCTTTCCTCACATATCGAACAGCTAGTGTTGAGAGTATATGTTCAATGACTGCACTCCGTAATGATGCACTGTTACCTTTGCTTGGCAAAACGGGATAACGTTCCTTGAGTCTTTTAGATAAGAACTGGAGATACTTCAGCTAATGGATTGCTTTAAGGCTGTTGGAGAGCTGGAGGAACCAGCTGAGGCGGGAGAATCGGATGGGAGAGGAGCCGAAAAAGAGGGCGGTACATGGCAAAGGGGTGTAGAAGGAAGGGAAGAAGAGAAAGGGGATGCCGGACAGGAGGCGTCAGCATGATCCGTAGTAGAGGCCACAGAGTTAGAAGGAGAAGAAGATAACATAGCTGAAGTAAACAGGAGAATGTAGAGTATACAGACTCGTGTTGATAAGGGACAACAACTGCAGGGCAGAGTTGTGTCACGGATCGTTCATAGACCCCTCACCGTGACTTTCGTGCAAGAGAAAAGGAAGAAAGAAAATTAATTGCATTTCATACTACTACTGTTTTTATTTTATGCATTCACACCTTTGACCTAATTCGCTCACCGGATATAACTTCTTAAAAACCACATGTGTATATACGATTGTACAGCTTGATGATAAATTCGTTGAAAAGAGTCTCTTCGCTGAATCACCACTTGTTTTGATTTTAGATGAAACCCGAATTAAGCATCTGATTAATTTTCAAGTATTGGTTTTGTAGGGATTTTGTTTGATTGCATGGAGGATTTCATCATGAGCTGACATCAGTTAGAGAACCACTGGAAAACCACATGGGAGTACTAGACGGCTGTTTCGTACTAGTTTGGGACTCTTCAGTAGTACGCGAAATGGTCGCGCTATGTCGTGAATTGGCAGAAGTTAGAATTAATGGGCCGGCCATTGGATCGGGTCCCAGTGGCTCAATTGTTTACGAGATCGCCTTGTAACAAGATGGTCCTGGGTTTGAAACTTGGCGGTGGGTGCGTACTGCTGAAGAGTCCCAAACTAGGACGAAACAGCTATCCAATACTCCCAGGTTCTCCATTGGTTCTCTAACTGATGTCAGCTCATGATGAAGTCCTCAATGCAACTACAGTTTTAGCAAAATAAAGTGGTGCCATCTTTTATTTCGTTGCCTTCTCATCAGCTCAGCTGGTTGCAGGCCAAAGACATTAATACATGCATCTACAAAAAAATTTTAACATACTTGCACAGAGTTCATTTCAAACAAAAAAATTAATCGATCAATATGTGCATACAGTAATTATATATAATCATACACAATGGAAACTTTTCAACATTTCACTTTCAGATGAAAGAGAGATGAAAAATACCGAGTTACCAGGTTGGCAAAGAAAGATTGATAACCTCTTCTTTCTGAACGCACAAATCAGCTTTCAGGCGCTTGGTGGAAATGACTTCAGCAAGCTTGAGGAGAATTGAGCTCTTTTGCCTATTGATAATTTTGGACGATTTTGCGACGTTCACCTCGACGCGGGTCATGATATATATTTAATGATATATTTAATAATGTCTTTGCCCTGTAAGCAGATGACGAGAAGGCAACGAAATAAAAGATAGTACCGCTTTATTCTGCTAAAACTGTAGTTCTTGCTTTGTTCAAATACTAATATTCATGTAGAAGCACAGAACATCCTTTGCAGACAGGGGTTTTGATATATTTTCTTTCATGAAAGACCTTCTCTTGAAATGTTCGATGAATGTGCACTTTTTATTTATTAAGGAACTATATATAGACAAATCGACGGTGTGGCAATGGGGTCACCACTAGGACCCATTCTAGCCGATATTTTCCTTGCGAAACTAGAAAATGGGCCTTTGAAGGATGTTATTAATGAACTCGAATTTTATTGTCGATAGATGGATGATAAATTTTTGATTATTAAAAATGAGAAGGAAGCAAAGAACATCCTGGATAAATTTAATGAGGTACATCCTGCAATAAATTTTACTATTGAGAAAGAAAAAGACTCTAGTATTTCATTTTTAGATGTCCTTATGACCAGAAAAGAGGACGGCACAATAAGAAGAAGTGTTTATAAAAAACCTACATAATCGGGCCAGTACACACATTTACTCAACTTTGTGCCCTTGAAATACAAACTCAATTTGATAAAGTGCTTGGTCCACAGAGCAAGAGAGATTTGCTCGGATGAATGTCTTGACGAGGAACTTAACAATATTAAACGGTTGATAAGTGAGAATGGTTATCCTGAAAAGTTTATTGATAAGAATATGAATCTGAAACCAAAACAGCCCAAGTTACCAACAGTTCCAAAGAAAGCCTTGTTCTTACAGATGCAGTTCCTAGGAGACAACACAAATGAGATACTAACACATCGCCTTAGAAATGCGGTAAGAAGAGCATTCCCTGCTCAACTACGCTGTATCTTTAAAACCACTCCTCTTCTACTTTCGGGAATAAAAGACAAACTGCCTAATTTCGCCACTTCCATGTGTATCTACCAATTGAACTGCTCCTGTGGAGCCAGTTAGTCGCATAGGTCGAACAATTAGGCGCGTCTCTCGTCGGATTTCCGAACATCATTCTGCATAGTGGTTGGTTAAGTAAATGACAAACAAAATCTATTCGCAGCGCTTTTCTGTCTCATCTTATGGAGACAGAACACAAGATTGACATTAACCATGCTTTCAGGGTCATTTACCGGATACCTACGAATCTCAATTTCGCCTTAAGAGTTCGACTACTAAATATTGCTGAGGCTGTAGGGGATCCACATTAATAAGTCTAATTTATGTGTTCAAAAGAAGCTAGTTCAGACATTATCCTTACTTTGGCCATCCAGGTTTGAATGATCCTGAATTTTTGTGGAATTTCCCTAATTTTAGTTGATATTCTATTCAGAACACAATATTCAGCGAAGAGACTCTTTTCAACGAATTTATTATCAA